AAATGATTTGGGGAGCGTTCCATCTTTTTCAATTGCCTGGAATACCTTCAGTAGGATTGGAATAACCTCCTCCTTAATGTCTTGTAGAATTCTGCTAGAAAGCCATCTGATCCAGGGCTTTTTTTGTAGGTAGTTTTCTTATTACATGGTCAATTTCCTTGATTGTTATTGGTCTATTTAGGGCTTCGGTTTCTTCTTGTTTCAACCTAGGCAGATTTTGTGATGACAGAAAGTCCTCTATTTCCGAAAGGTTTTCAAGTTTGTTTCTATACAAGTGTACATAGAAGTCTCTAATGAACTTTTGTATTTCTTCAGGATCAGATGTGACTTCATCTTTTATGTTTCTGATGGTGCTTATTTGGGCTTTTTCTCTCTTTTTCTTGGTCAGTCTAGCTAGGGGACCATCGATCTTGTTTATCCTTCGAAGAACCAATTTTTTGTTTCATTGATTTTTGTACTCTATGTCCTGGATTTGGGCTTTTATTTTGGTGATCTGGATTCTTCTGCTGAAATTAGGGTTTCTGTGGTCTTGCTTTTCCAGCTTTTTTAGGTGGCTTGTTAGGCTGTTAATTTGTGCTCCTTCCATTTTCTTCATGTGCGTTTGTAGGGATATAAATTCCCCTCTTACTACAGCTTTCATGGCGTCCCAGAGATTTTGGTAAGATGTTTCTTCATTTTCATTTGTTTCCAGGTATCTTGTAATCTCTGTTTTGATTTCATCATTGACCCAGGAGTTGTTTAGCATCATGCTGTTTAGTGTCCATGTCTTTGTGTGTTTTGGGGTGACCTTGTTATTAATGATTATTTTTATTCCACTGTGGTTCAAGAAGGTGCATGGTAAAATTTCAGTCCTTTTAAATTTGCTCATGCTTGACTTATGGCCAAGTATGTGGTCGATCTTAGAGTACACTCCATGCGGTGATGAGTAGAATGTGTATTCTGTGGTCTTTGGATGGAGGGATCTGTAGGTATCAATTAAGTCCATTTGATCAAGAGTCACATTGAGGTTTCAGATCTCATTGCTGATTTTTTGTCCTGATGATCTGTCTAGGGTTGTGAGTGGGGTATTGAAGTCCCCAGCTATGATGGTATTAGAGTCGA